CCCCTGGGCCTGGACCGTCCAACCCAGTTGAGTCAACAGGCATAGCAAGATATGCCACTTTGATCCATTATGGAATACACTCCCACTAGAGTACAATATCACTTTAAGCATGAGTTTTTACATGCTTTCAAAGCCTTTAAAGCAGTGTTCACATGTCGACACTTAGACACGTATCGACACACAAAGACATGATCAACACTTCTCCATACGGTTTGATGACATCATCAGCTTCTGAGTATGCATCGGCATTTTAAATATAAGAGTCAGCGTTGTTGATCACAAGCATATAAGGGTTTAGGTGGTAGTGTGAGCGAGGGCAAATTATCCTTAGTTTTTATTTTTATTCAATTTCAAAAGATGTATAATATAATCCTAGTTTAGGATTTATTTCTAGGGGGTTCCCAGTTTTTCAAGAATTCTAGGGTTTTTAGAGTTTTTTTATATATTTCATGAGTACTATTCACAAGTACTATTGATGAGTAATGTTCACAAGTACTGTTCACATGGACAGAAATGTTATTACAAAATTTAAGTTTAAGTTAGAATATATAGGTCATTTTAATCATTTTATGGACATGTAATGTCTTTGAACATTGAATTGTAATTATAAGAGGTGTGTGGGGGCCTTGAGCAGGTCAATTTGACAGGATTTTTTAGAAATTGAAAGAGAGACAAGGTTGGGCTTTTGCAACCCTAGCTTGGTGTTGAGAAGAAACATGTGGTTTCTTCAACTTATGATTGTGTTTAGCTTTGTTTCTTGTTGATTAAACTATTCCCTCAAATTTCCATGCATCAAGTAGTACCAGAGCCCACGATCTACACGGGTAGCATGTTCGGAAGTTACTGTAACACATATGGAAGTTACTGTAGCACGTACGGAGTTATTGTAGCACTAATTTTTTGGTGCCCTAGATCAACAACAAAGAGGGAGAAATTACAGTAGGGTCTAGTGTTTGCTGATTTTGTTTGCCAAAACAACCTAGATCTTGTTGATGTCAGCAATTTTTATATATTATTTGCCTATGGTTTGTGTTTTCGACAAACCCATGGCAGCAAGAAGGGGCCGTAAAAGGGGGATTGTCGTAGATCTACTTTATGATCCCATAGGTGACCAAATTGAGGAACTTGAAAAGCAAGTACAGCAGCTGGCGCAGCAATTCACGAGCCTCAATAATGGGCAAGACGGTGATCTTTCAGACCAAAAAGATCTCGACAACAAACCTTTTCATTTTTGTGCTCTGCGTGGGGAGTCGAGTGATGAGGATAGTAGCAGAAAACCTATATGTGGGGAACATCACTCTAGGGTTTTTTATTTGGAGGATGAGATTTTTTTATTTGGACACAGATTTTATAGAAAGTCAGCAAATTATGGATTGGGATTCCCCACCAATCTTTGATATATACTCAGATAAACAAGAAGATTTCTTAAGAGATCTGATTTATGATAATGATCAAGATGATGATAAAGAGATTTTAGAAGAGGGTGAAGAATATGGAGAAAAGGCAGCAAGAGGATTGATCAAAATAATGATCTTTAAAAAATCTCATTAATATCGAAGAGGTAGTACGTTCCAGAAATTCAGGGTATTGGAATCAAAGTAGTGCAATGGAAGCATGGTCGAGTCAAAATCTGCATATTGTGGCCCTGATTCCTCAATATACATATCAGAATCTAGTTCTTAAGTAATTATGTTTATCATGAATAATCTTTGAGCCAAAAAACAAAAAGGTTGAAGAATGTAGTTTTGATGCGAAATTCATCTTAGCACATTTCAAAACTCGAGGACGAGTTTTCTCCAACCAGGGAAGAATGATGAAGGGCAAATTATCCTTCTTTTTTATTTTTATTCAATTTCAAAAAATGCATATTATGGTTTAGTTTAAGGGTTTATTTCTAAGGGTTCTTAGTTTCTTAGGAATAGACATACTCTTTCTAAACCCAATCCTTTCTCCCTCTTCACTTATATATCCCAAGCTTCTCTTTCTCTCTCTTCCTGCGTCTCTCACTCTCTCTCTCTCCTGTCAAACTTAAAAAAGGTATATTTTTCTAAACCCTTCTCTCTCTTCCTGTTCTTTCTCTCCCTGTTCTCTCTCTCCCCATCTTCCAAACCGCTCTCTCTATATTCCTCTATTTTTTCTGTTCTAATCCTCTCTTTCCGTATTCTACTATTGTTTCTCTCCCAGCCCTCTCTCTCTTTCTGTATTCCTATTCTTTTTCTCTCCCCCTATCTCTCATTCTCTCTCTCTTCCCGTGCCCTCTTCCCAATCTCTCTCTCCCCTTATATTTCCTCTTATTTTTCTCTCTGTCCTCTCTCTCTTTTCGTATTCTCCATTCTTTTTCTCTCCCCCTGTCTCCTACTCCCTCTTCACACCCAACTCTTTCTCTGCAACATAAATATTTAAAATTATATGGAGAACAGAGGTGGAGTACAAAGCTTCAATGGACGTCAGTAAATATTTTCAAGAACCAGCATAGATATGGTTCTCAAAAGACATTCTCTGAGCTTTCAAAGGTTCCAAAACACATCCTCTGCGCTTTCAGATGGGTTGGCAGTTAAATTGGAGCCAGTCAAATTGGAGCTTTCAGATGGGTTGGCAGTCAAATTGGGTTCTACAATTTATCTATCAAATTGATCATTGGTTGGGTTCTGCAATTTCTCTATCACGGGAAGAGAGAAAGAGTTGGGGGATGGCAGTTAAATTTGGTTCTGCAATTTATCTATCAAATTGATCATTGGTTAGGTTTTGCAATTTGTCTATCACGAGGAGAGAGAAAGAGTTGGGGGATGGCAGTCAAATTGGGTTCTGCAATTTATTTATCAAATTGATCATTAATCATTGGTTGGGTTCTGCAATTTGTCCATGGAGAGAGAGAAAGAGTTGGGGGAGCACGGGAATTGTCTATCACGGGAAGAGAGAAAGAGTTGGGGGAGCACGAGAAGAGAGAAAGTGAGAGGCATGGGTTTGGCATATGGGGAGAGAGAAAACGTGAAGGGAGAGGTTTGGAAAGGGAGGATGGTTTTAGAAAATGCATGTCTTTTTACATTTGTTTGGCCTAAAAAAACAGGTTTAAATTAGCTCAGGGGTTAGAAGAAATAAAATCTACAATTTTTATACCCCAAGATATCTTTTAAAAACTTGGGTCTATTGTGAAATGAAACCTAAAAATAGGGGGTACGGAGATATTTTCCCTTGGATATATAGGTCATTTTAATCATTTTATGGACATGAAATATCTTTGAACATTGAATTGTAATTATAAGAGGTGTGTGGAGGCCTTGAAAGGGTCAATACCACATGATTTTTTAGAAATTGAAAGAGAGAGGCTTAGGCCATTGCAACCCTAGCTTGGGTGTAGAGAAGAAATATGTGGTTTCTTCAATTTATGCTTGCATTTAGATTTGTTTCTTGTTAATTTTACTATTCCCTGGAATTTCCTTGCATCATAGTGTGACCATTTGACCTGGTGTGGATGGGAGTTCAATTCATGTTATTTGCTTTCCCTTTTGGGAAAAATGATATCATTTCAAAGTGACCAAGGAAACACTTGAAACCCAGGACGACTTGGATAAGAGGCCAACATGCTACCACAATGCCCCTCTAGCGCATTTAAAATGCAAAAGCATAACAAGTAAACCATTGGATTGGAACACGGAATGTCTCAGAGGGGTTGATTTAAGGCAATCATGTACACTACCACCGCACCATTGAGGTTTAAGTGCCAGATTATAAGAATTTACATTAAATATATTTAATATATTAGCAGTAGAGGTATGTCCTCACGTACCATATAACTCTAACACGTACTTACCAGTACGTGTGTTAGTATCCATGTAACACGCCCTGAAGGCCACAAACCCCAAAAACGGCCGCATTGACTGCAGGTCCAAAGTTGTTGCCCTTTGTAAACCTAGGTAGATATGGTACTCTAGATGTTTACAGTGCAAAGAAAAGTAAGAAATTGTAAAAATAAAAAATGGACTAAGCCACAGTCCACTAGGGTTTCATTAGAATATATGTGAAATTTTATTACAAGTTTTCCTTTTGTTCATTCACTATAGTTACATGTGTCCTTAGACTACAATGACATTCTCAGTGCCACAATACATAGGACATTCCATAGACAATACATAGTATACTCAGCAGCTTATATACAACGCTTTACAATACATAATATAGTACATAGACTGTATCCAACACTATCTTGTACATTCCCCCTCATGTAGGTGCATGGATGTCAAGCATACCTCAACTTGGATCTAAGTTTGTGCATGGGAATCTTTGCCGCTGCTTTTGTAAAGGAGTGAGCAGAGAGTTAAATAAGGGGGTTGCAAGGTTGGGTGGTGGTGAGTGTTCTTGGGAAAAGAAAGAGGAGGGGGTGGCGGAGGGAGAGAGAGCTGACGTTAGCAGGTTCTCTCTCTTCAAAGTTGCAGCGATTGGGTAAATAAATTGGATTAAATTGCAAAAGGGACAAAGAGATGTGCGTAGGGAGGAGGGGATGGCTTGGTGTTGAGAGAGGGAGGATGGGGCAGTTTCGAGGGACGGGAGAGAGAGAGAGAGAGAGAAGATTATTAGATCAAAACCAATATAGCCAAGAAAACTTCCAACCCAACTACATAAAGTCTGAATGTTCAGAAAATCTCCTTTTCTCTTAACAAACATCTGCACAAGAAACTTTGTATTTTTAATATTTCCATTTTCCACAGATCCATCTTTGAGTATCAATAAAAAAAGTAGAGGAAAGTTTTGATGGCAAGAGTTTAAAATTATTTAAAGACCACGTGATATGTGAATGGTTGATATAAGCTTAATATTAAAGAGGGAGAAAGCCCATAGCATATGTCCTGATAGTTCAAAAGTACAAATAACCACAAAGAACATTGTCTCAGCAAGAAAATTTTAATGCTTATGGAGTTATGATAGTGCCCGATGCAGTGTTCATCAAGATGTTATTTGCACCACACAATATTGCAAGAGCAGAGTAGCAATGGAAAAATTACCACATAGAAAAAACCAGACTCTTTACAAGCCTGATCCAACAAGTTAACGACTTCAAATACACCAGAATCTTCAGCCATCTTTGGATCGTTGCATTTCCTTGAGAGAGGACGCACATCTGAATCAATTACAAAGTGGTGAAGTTATCACAAACCAGACCAAAGGAAAGTAAGCATGCCAAAAACTTCATAAAGAAACAAAGAGATAGGAAACATGATCAAAAACAGGTCTCTGCTAGCAATTCAGAGTAATACAAATGAGGAAATCCATTGTGTTTGTTAATAGCATTTGAAACATAAAATAGTAATTGCTACTGAGTTGCCAACTAGAGAAAGAGAATCAAGGAATATTGGTAATGAAAGGATCAATCTTTCCCTCAATGGAAAATGTGAAGCCCATGTAAAGTGGCCCCATGACATGTCAAAGCCATTTGCATTATGAGAGCAGATGCCCATAATTACTGCATGGTTCCCTATTACAATGTACATGAGTTTTCCACCAAAGGCAGTGACTTTTAAATGGTGCACCATCTATAAGTAATCACATGACACAAACATGCTAATAAAGCACGCAGTGCACCTCCAACCACAAATTCTGCTATGACATGGCCATGGAGCATGTCAACAAACCACTTAACGAAACTGAAAGAGGTTCAAGTTTAAATCACCAAGCATCTGAAATGTTGCTCAGCAGAAGCTTGGCACATATAGTATGACCATCTAAAGTTGTAAAGGAGAAACACACAAATGTCACGAATTGAATTGTTCCCACCTCCAATGTTATATGAGCAGAGGAATGAAACCATCCATATCATGGCATGTACTAAGGTTTCTGTTTGAGTTTCAAACATTTAATAGGCATATTATGTGTATGCTAAATGAAGAGGACACCAGAAACTAAACAAACAGAATGCATCATCATCCAAGCCTTATCCCAAATAGTTGGGGTCAGCAAACAAACGGAATGAATACACACAAATTGTCCTCCAAAACATCTATGGTTTTCTGAGAATAGGACATGCATGTGCCCAGTACATACTACTAGTGTGAAACACCTGGCAGAGGAGCATGATAAAGGAAAGCATCCATGATTACTAAGTCTATAAGACTACAGCAATATCAAAGGAAAGACCTTATGGACATAGCAAACAAGAAGATCAACATCCCATCTCAAATACTTCTAGAAATCCTCTTGCAGGACTTTAAACATTAGAAGGCTTGTGAACCATTCTTCGAATCATTTAAAATGGATCAACAACACAAATAGCAAAGCATTTGATATTAAACCATGAGATATTAAGTGCATGTTCTTCTTGACAAAATTTATGAAACAGGAGTATCTAAATGAGTCATATAATCAGGAAAGAGTGGTTTCTAAGTTGTAGGCAAATTAACAGAAAGGGACTGACAAAAAGAGGAACCAGGCCTCAATGTAGTATGAAAATTCCAAAAGCAATATAAGTACGAACAAAACCATTCAACTTGAGAACCATTCCATAACGAGACACAACCAAGGGGTAGATCGATTGTCAATTCTAATTGCATGACATTCTAAAAAATGAAAACAACTGTACTATATAACTCAAGCAACTAGAAATTGAACTTGTGGCCTACAGACATCGTGAATTTGGCTCATGAAGATCTATGAGTTGTATAAAGTAAATGTGAGGTTGTTATGTACAGGTGTCATAAAGTTCTACATTTCAGATACGTGTCAATAGACCCATGAATAACACAATGGTTTTTCTTGGCTGAGTATGTTGCACAAAATCATTATGGACTTGCATTGCGGGCATGGGGCATAGGTTTTCAAGAAATAAAATCTCAAAAATCAATTTGAAATAGTAACAGGTACTGTTTCAAGATTTGGCCGAGTTGACTCAGACTCAGCCGAGTTACTTGGCCTCGGCCATGTGCCAATGTGAGTATGTTGCAAAAAATCACAAGGACTTGCAATGAGGGTAATGCCGCATATGTTTTCAAGGAATATAATCTCAACAATCAATTTGAAACAGTAATAGGTAGTGTTTCAAGACTCGGCTGAGTCAATTGGGACTTGACCGTAGTTACTTAGCCTCAACCATGTGCCAAGTTGAGTAGTTAGGTACACCTCCCTAGATAATGGGAGCTGTACAATTCTCAAGCTAGAACTGTACATACTAGCCCGAGTACAACAAGACTTGCAGACTGGTCAAGAATGCCCCCGAGGAATATCGAGTTATTAGGGAATCAGATCAGGTCTAGTTTTGATCCCCCAATTATTAGCTATGCAATTTTGCAGAGCCTCTTTTGCAGTTTTCATGTTTTAAATAAGCTTCGTTCCAACAATAATTCATCTAATTCATTTGATGAATAATTATTGGGTGACCCAAATTATATAAGAAGGATTCTTTGATCAAAATTGATCACAAATCGGCAAATTTAGATTTTTATCTTGCAGTTTTTGTCCAAAAAGTGGGTTTTTTGAGAAAATCCACCATTATTGGTATATCTCCCTTGTTTCTCAATCAAATTCCTTGATATTTGATTTAAATTGAAGCTACGATAGTCTTTCACGATATCCCCACATTGATTCGTGGGGTTACAACCCCTATCATGAGATATGGGGCCTAAAATAGAGTGGTTTTGTTGAACAGGACCAGTTTGTGAAAAAACCCTACCGATCCGCCATTTTGATCCCTTCTCCCTTGTTTATCAATCAAAATCCATGAGAATTTGATTCAAATTGAAGCTACGAGAGTCTTCCACAATATCCCCATATTGATTTGTAGAATTATAGCCCCTATTGAGAGATATTTCACCTGAATAGATCGGCTCTATTGAACAAGAATCAGACTATGATCTATCATTTTGATCCATTATCCCATGTTTTAATCCAAAATCCTTAATATTTGACTCAAATGCTAATAGAGTCTTCAACAATATCACCACATTAATTTGTGGGATTAAAGCCCCTATTATGAGATATTTATCCCTAAAGGTCATGGATATTGAGGAATTGGTGGTGGAGAGGGAGGAATTGGTAGTGAACAAGAGGGCCCTAGAAGAAGAGGATGCAAATGATCCTGATGACATCAAAGTGGCAAGGACTAACTAGGACGACATGCAGGAGGACGTCCAAGAGGAAAAGGTGGAGGGGGTGAGGGGAAACATGGTGGCATGAGCTCCAATGAGGATAGAGGTAGTTGGCTACAGGATGATAGAGAAATTGTCACAACCCCACCCCCTTTCCCCCTATCGTACTTGCCGAAAGGCAACAGGGTGCGGGACCGCGACCAAAGGTAGCTAATGCCACTCAGGTGGAAGTGCGCTCAACGATTGAAGGGAAGGAATCAAAGCAAACCACGAAAGAAAAACAAAACTCCAACCACACACAAACACCAAAAAGCTGGACAAATTAATTCCAAACCATAAATAAAAGCTCCAAAGTATTACAAATATGTCCAAGGCACCACAGACCCAACAACTATACATAGCTTCAATATAAAAACAACTATATGTCCAAACTGTCATCTAATCCATACAAATTAAAGAAGCTTCCCCAAGATGTACGAGGCTCCAACCACCAGCCGAGATCACCAAACCTCCCGTCCTCAACCCGCGAGCTATCACTCTAAAATAGATGAAGGTCAACGGAGTGAGCTATAAAGCCCAGTAAATAGATCAAGGTGCCATGTATTCCTGCCTACATACAGTAACTCATAACCATACTCAAAATTCATACAAGTCTCATAAACATGGAGTCATGTATCACAATTATATTTAACAATGTGTCGTGAGTGATTCCTTTCATGGTGGGACAATCGCAAAATCAGATATCAGATTACATATAAGCTAACAGTTTATCAAATCTTCTCATCCTGATCACTGTAACAAATCAACAGTATCAGGCAAGCATATATCAACCACAAATAATCCTAATATTACTTACTCTCAAAATAGAAGTCTTATCCATCAAGCCAAGCAAATCTCATTGCTTGAGACTTTTATCATCACTTAGGAGAGAAAACACCACAAATGGGTTACCCATTTCGTAATGACGCCACGCGCACACACAATCCCCAGCACGCTTTGGGGCTTTTGATAGGCATTGGCCTTGCACGACACGGCCCTCTCTTTGAATCTCCGCTCGAGGGCGTTACACTACCAAAAGGGTCCCAATGGATAGTGCCTCACTGAATTTTTTAGGAGAGCAACCCTCCTAACACACACTCGTCCTAACTCCCGTCCTATCATTGGGAGTCAAGGAAATATCTCAACTGTCAGCACATTATCTGACCACTCAGGTCTTATCACATTACACTTATCACATAGCTGACCACACAGGTCTTATCACATAGCTGACCACACAGGTCTTATCACATAGCACTTAGCTTGTCCCAAAATCATGCACAGATATCCCTATAGAACATGTATTATCATGATTTACACATATCGTAACAAAGCATGTCTTACTACATGCTCCCATATCATCAGAGAGCTTACCTCATTATCATGCATTCATAACACAATAAAGCATGTCATACTATCATGCGCACATTTCTCATAAGCAACACATTTCCATGCTCACATAAAACATCAGCACGCCATGCATATAATCATATTATCATGCTTATTAGTTTGAAAGACATTATCATGTCGTATCATGCATATAAACTGACCACCATGCTCATTAGCTCAAAAGATATCATCATACCATGTTTCTGGTTTTTCCACAATGAACAAGGTCTACCTTTAGAGGCGTATCATGGGATTCAAAAATCATTTGGACCTGAGACCACTTTTATAACAATATAGGCTCATGAAAGCACAACTTTCGTGCAGGGAATAACCCTTAAATATTGGCCTAAATTTGCCAAACTGTTGGTGATCTTGAGTGAAACTTCTGGCTTTACAGAGCAGAAAATACAAGGTGATATCTTAATAGAAAATCGGACATAACTTTCAAACCACAGGGAATTTCATCCTGCTTCCAAGCCCATTTTCAAAATAGATTAATACATCTACCATTTAGAAGTGGTTTGAGCTCATTCTAACATATTTTGGTTGGTGAACAGTTCCACGCAAAACACATAAAGTTCCTGGAAATTCATTTCACATTTATGGCATACTTTCGAAAATGGCTCATAACTTTAAAACCAAAAAAGATATTGACAAGAGGTCTTTTCCATCTTAAAATAGATTCAAAGAGGTACCTTCCCACAAAATTTTGTGATCAACAGAGATGTTTTTGATGCTCAATTGATCACACAAAGGGGAGTCACAATTCTGGAAAATTCCTGTCTTCTCAGCAGAATTCTCCAGTGTGACATTCTCATATAAAAATGGGCATAATTTCCAATCCACATGAAATTTTACCATGGTTCCAAAACCATTTTTAATATAGACTCATTTATCTTTCATTTAGAAGTGGTTTGACCTCATTCTGATTCATTTTGGTCAGTAAACAGTACCACCTAAAAACACATAACAGTTCTGGAAATTCATTTCACAGTTATGACATACTTCAGAAAATGCCTAATAACTTTCAAACCAAAAGAAGTATTAACAGGAGGTCTTTTCCATCTTAAAATAGATTCAAAGGGGTACCTTCCCACAAAATTTCGTGATCAATACTCAACCGATCACACAAATACGAGTCACAGTTATAGAAAAACAGAGCACATACTAACAAGATTTCATATTCACAATCACATCCATTTTCACAATCACATCCATTTTCATGCTTGAAATTTCACACTTGGATAAGCTAAGTAAACAAAATCATGAAACATGGAAACTAGATCCACTTACAGCTCTAAGTGAAACTCCCAAGTGCTCCACACAAGTTTCTCTTTAAAGTGTCAAGCTCCACAGGATGGTTTTAAGGCTGACGGCGGACGTGGGTGAGAAGGTAGGGAGAAGAGAGAGAACAAAACCCCATGGAGGGGTATAAAGGAAGGTATAAATAAGCAAAAGCGAGGGGTGGCAAGTGGCAGCAAGCAAAAGACAAGTGGTATACAAAAGGCATGCATGTGCCACAAGGCACACAAGAGGCATGCATGCAATAATGAGAGAGAGAAGAAAGCTTTTCCCTGGAGCGTCGTGCACGGCAGCGTCGCGTGCGGCAACATCGCGCGCGGCAGCTTCACGCACAGCAGCGTCGCGCTCGACAGTTTCACACATGGCGGCTTCACACACGACGGCTTCACACAAGGCGGTTTCACGCACAACGGTTTTACGTACAACGGTTTCACAGACGGCGGTTTCACACACGACGGCTTCACACACGGCGGCTTCACACATGGCCGTTTCCATACTTATCTGCGCTCCAGCTTACTCATGCCGATGACTTGCCGACGCACTACAATCTCACCGGAAAACTCTGGGTCCTTACAGAAACTTATAGCTGTTGGCAGTATAGCCATCCAATGAGGGACATAGGCGGCAACTGAGCTAGTGTCTTACCAAGTGACATAGCCAGCTAACCCAGCAAGGCTTTAAAGGCGCATAACAACGATGATGAGGGAGGGACCCCTGGCTAAGGTGGGGGGAAGTATGAAGGTTGGACGAGTCTTGGTCACTGTGGCTTAGGGACCAATTTGTCTAACATTTTTATTTAGCATGGGGCACAACTAGGATAGGGGCACAACTAGGATAGGGGCACTACTCCCTCTTTCTCGCAGGTTTCTTGTAGGGACCACTACCCTGATAGCGAGACCCAAGAATACCCTAAACCCCACTAATGCTCACATTACCTATAGTTATTATTGTCTTTTATTGTATGGGACTGCTAAATGAGATCATGATAACCTCAATGGTATCCTTGGGTCTTGCTATCTAGATGGGGTCCCTGCTAAAACTCTGGGAGATAAAAAGAGTAGTCCCTATCCCAGTTGTCCCCCGCGCCAGACTGGAACGTCGGTCAAATTGGTCCTTGAGCCACAAACACCAAGACTTTTCCAGATTCCATGATCCCCCCTACCTTGGTCAGAGGTTCCTCCCTCATCAATGTCGCTATGCTCCTTTAGTACCTGGTTGGGTAGCTGGGTATGTTGCTTGCTATGACACTAGCTATGTCACTTACCAAATGGGCTATGCTAACAATTGCTATACCTCTCTCTCT